TTTTTTCAGAAACAAAGAGAAGGAAAAAATTAAAATTACATACCTGGCTCACATTTGTGGCTTACCTTGTATCTCCATTGGACAACACTGTTCCAGAATGATTATCGAAAGATAAAAGGGGCCATACTTTGGTTTCAATATGGAAACTCCTAGATCTTCCCCTTCTGGTTACATTGTCGTCAGTTAATCTTAACCCCTGCTGTTCCTTGTGCCTCAAATGCTTTTTTCTTTCATAACTTTTAGGTGCATCTTAAATACTTTCACTGTAAGAACCCTTCAGAGTTGCCTAAGTTGAAATGAATTGCTGTTACTCATTTGTTAGATAGTGTGGTGTAGGTGAAAGATCTGACTTCTAATTTAGGTTCTGTCATGTAACCTTAAAACATTATGTGGGCCTTAAGTTCTTCTTTTGTGTAACACATAATATTTACTTATCAAGATTATTGTTAAATAAGATAATAGATGTAAAATACCTGGCAAGTACTCAGTAGTGTAGATACTCAGTAAGTGTTAGTAACCCTTCCCTCCCCTCTCATGGAGCCCTAAACTACAATCAGAAGCAAGTCTAGGAAAAAGTCATTAATCTCACCTCAATTAGAGGACAGAGACCATGGCTTTTTTGTTACGTTTCTGTCATCCTATGTCCAAAAATTCTTCTTTTTTTTCTTTTTTAGAGACAGGCTGTCACTCTGTTGCCCAGGCCAGAGTGTTGTGGCATGATCGTGGTTAACTGTAATCTCAGACTCTTGGGCTTAAGTGCTCCACCTGCCTCAGCCTCCAGAGTAGCTGAAACTACAGGCATGCACCACAATGCCTGGCTTGTTATAGAAATTTTTTTGTAGCAATAGGATTTTGCCATGTTGCCCATGCTGGTCTTGAACTCTTGGCCTAAAGTGATCCTCCCACCTCAGCCTCCCAAAGTGCTGGGATTACAGATGTGAGCCACTGTGCCAGGCCCCTGGACTATGTTTATTTCTGTTTGTATCCCTAGCACCTGGCACAGTACCTGGCTTAAAACACCTTTTATTTGTTTGAATTGATAGTTTAAGGTCACAGCTACTGGGTGGCAGAGGTGGCCTAGAATCCAGTTCTGCTAATTCCTGATGCTTAACATACATTTTATTTAAAAGAATTCATAGCTAAATCTAATGTCAGGGAAGATGTTATGTAGAGTTATGTATGCATTGTTCAGAGTGTGACATATATTGAGATGAGAAATAACGTTTTATTGAGTTTTTGTTTTTTTGGTTTTTATTTTTTTTTATGGAGTCTTGCTCTGTCACCATGCTGGAGTGCAGTGGCACGATCTTGGCTCACTGCAGCCTCTGCCTCCTGGGTTCCAGCGATTCTTCTGCCTCGGCCTCCCTAGTAGCTGGGACTACAGGCGTGCACCACCACAGCCAGCTAATTTTTATAATTTTAGTAGAGACAGGGTTTCACCATGTTAGCCAGGATGATCTCGATCTCCTGACCTCGTGATCCTCCCCACCCCCACCTCAACCTCCCAAGTGCTGGTATTACAAGCATGAGCCACTGTTCCCTGCCGAGTTATTATTGTTTTATATTGCTCTTATGACATTAACCATTATAAGGGAAAAATAGAATTTGTAATTTTAGTTAGCATATCCACTGAAAGCTCATATTTTTCTGCAACGTATTTCTAGGGGTGTTTTTAAAGTAAGCATGGGGAACATGTTTAACTTATAGGCCTTCCTTTTTTTCTTTCAACATCTAATCTATATAAGCATTTGGAATATGTGCAACAGTATCATTAATGTGATTGGCAAATTGTCATAGTAATATAACTCTTCCAGGATTATGTAAAGAACACTTTAATAAATTGATTCTTTCTGTACTTTTTGCAAATGTATGAAGTACGACAGGACTTTTAAAACTGTAAAGCACCGGCTGGGCGGGTGCTTCACACCTGTAATCCCAGAACTTTGGGAGGCTGAGGTGGGTAGATCACTTGAAGTCAGTAGTTTGAGACCAGCCTGACCAACATGGCAAAACCCCATCTCTACCAAAAATACAAAAATTAGCCAGGCGTGGTGGTGCACCCCTGTAATCTCAGCTCCTCAGGAGGCTGAGGCAGGAGAATCACTTGAACCTGGGAGGCGGAGGTTGCAGTGAGCTGAGATCACACCACTGCACTCCAGCCTGGGTGACAGAGTGAGACCCTGTCTCAAATAAATAAACAAACAAACTCATAAATAAATAAACTCTATCTCAAATAAATTAATAAAATAAAACTAGAAAGCACCATAAAAAGTTACATATCAACTGCAGGATCTTACCACTGTGGCATTTATGCTAGAGAAAACTTCAGAAGATGAAAACCAAACATAATGATGTTGTAGAGCTAAAAAGGTTCTCACATACCTTCTAGTTGAATCCACTTATCCTACAAGTTAGGAAACTGAGAGGTTTTTTTTCCTCAAGAAAGTTTAATCTTGCTGTGCTGCCCAGACTGGACTTGCACCCCTGGGCTCAAGCTATTCTCCTGCCTCAGCCTCCGAAGTAATGGATACTGCAGGCGGGAGGCACTCTGCCCAGCTCAGAAAAGCTTAAGTGGAATTGCAGTAGCACTCTAATCTGTTTCACATGCATTGCTTTAGATATTAGAAAAATAGAAACAGTGTATTCTCGTGTTTTGAAAATAATTCTTCTGTGTGGTGTAGATCAGTGCTTCTTGTTCCTTTTCAGAAAACAGATACAAGTTATGAGGTAACATTTAACCTTATTGTACAAACTGAGATTTAGCATCTAATCATATGTTCAGTAAGAAACTTAACTAAAATGACACAATTTAAACCAATATGAAATTGCAAGTCAGAACATTAAAAAATCTAAACAGTTGAATCTAGTCTTGATCAACTGTTTCCAAGTTTTTCTATCCATACTCAATTGCTATTTGTACTTTTTAACTGTGTAGTAGATAAGTAATAGTGTGTGGAAAAGGCTTAAAAGCAATCTTTAAAAGAAATACTTAAAATTGAACAAATTCTATTTGTTAGTTTACATTTTTCTATGTGCACATCAAAGAAAGGCCATTGTTACTTAATTCTGGCAGAATAGTTTGACAAGCACTTTGCCTGGATATTTTTTCCTAATTTCCCCCTTTCTGAACTATATAAGCATTTGTCCTCTATTTGATGAATGTTTATGGGCACTTTCATTTA